ATTGGCTGGCTCTCCAACCTTGAAAAATGATACCTAGCTCTTCTGTAGTGTTTTCCTCCATGGAGTCCAAGAGTTGTGTTCATCCAGACAAAAGAGAGAAACAAACGTCATATGACCAGCATGACATGCACATCATACATGACTCGGGTTGCAAGCTGTAGTGCTTTGGGGAAAGGGTGCATATTCTTTACCATGTCTTTCCTGGAGCCCCTTACCTGCTGGATAAAAACAGGCCACACAGTAGACTGGAATCAGAGAGTCATGGCTATCACTGTCAGTGTCTGTTGCCTTCTTCAGTAAATTGAATATCCAAGATGGTTGGGGGGGTCTTTTTTTTTTGCCTTTGAAGACAATGTCAAATAACCTCCATATTGTGTAAGAGCTGGCAGAGATCCTGCCTGTCTCTTGGGTTTATTCCTTATAGACTAAAATAAGCCTCTCCTGTACTCCTCCGGCCAATCCTGCTGCTTTCTTGGGTCATTTTTCGTCTCACACCAGTTTTTCACATTAATTTCTTTTCTCTGTAGTATCAGATCTAGAGTCTGAATGTGTGCTGTTGCCTGTGAGCCCTTGGTGATTTCCATCTTCCAGTCCAGCTTCTGTTCATCCTATTATAAAAAGGTTACTCCAGGGTAGGTCATGTCTATCCATCAGTATATAATCAGTTAGGAGCTTCAGAGACCCTTCATTTGAGCCTGTCTGGCAGGGTTTCTCCTTACCACCTTTCCTACAAAGTTGTTTTCCGAGAAGCCATTACATCAGATATGTGGCCAAGGTAAAAGACACTCATTTATGGCTGTCTTTGATGGCATCTGCTGAGGATAATACAGTACTGCACCATGCTTTGAATACTTCCATGAAGTGATTTCCATTAGACTGGTTAAGATGAAATTCTGTCTCTTTCTTCCCTCAACATCATGACTCACCAGATGAAGCAAAGCTGCATGCATCAGGTATTGAGAGGGTATTGTGTTATACCTGGAAAGAACAAAATCCTTTGCAGATTTTCAGGGTTATTGGTGGTATTTCAGAACAAGTCTAAGAGGAAATCAGTTTCTGTTCAGAGGCTGTATAAACAGATTAGACTCCGGATTCAACCCAGACCAAGCAGTGATTTATGGCCAACTGGTCAGGGAGCCTTCAGGCAATTTCCCAGAGCACTTTGCCTGCAACTCTGAACATCACAAAGCAGTTGCCTTGAGTGCCGTTCACACAAGACTGTCTTGACTAAGGTGCTAATGTTGAGAGAAAGTTCTTCTGAGCTTTGTTTAATGAAGGATTATTCCCCAGCCTTACTCCCGTGGGTTGCTAGCTGCTAGTCAGTTTGCCAAGTGTGAGGATCTGCAGAGACAGTCCCAGGTGGAGAAAGGATACGCACCTGTAACTAGTCTTTCTGCTGCTGGCTTACATTCCACCATCTCCATCCCTTCTCCTGAATGGGTGGAAGGGCTCTGCAAATGAGCATATCTGTGGAGCCATACATCTGGGTGACATGGTATTAGGGTTTGTGCCTTGCATCCCTGAGGGTGGGCACTTCAGAGACAGTGAATAGAGAGCTTCAGGTGAGTAACCTTACTTCATTTCATTCAACCTGATGTCCTTGTCCCATTCATGTTTCCATCCTTTCATGATCAAGCCTTCTAAACCTAGTTACAGCATGAAGTCTTCAGCTACTTTTACCTGCAGTCTAGGAAGCATGAGAACCCCAGTACGTCTGGCTACTCCTTGCTGGTCAATAGGTTGCAAAGTCATGACCAAGCTTAGACAACTGTTTGACTTCATTTCCCCTGTCCTAGTTGCCCAGCTAGAGAGAGAGCACGTTTCCCTCTCTGACTGGCATGCTTTGGGCAATGGATTCTTCACTTGCTGCATGTAAAACTGGAGTTCTGAATGTTGGCCCATAGCCAGAGGCCAGCAGCTGCATTTAATTTGTGCAAAATACATGACTTGCAACTTCCCTTTGGGTAGAAACATGAAGTTATGGATTGGAGAGACAGCCAGTCCCAGCATGCTTTGTTCAGCCTGGCAACATGGCCTCTCACCTCTAAAAGGAGCATGGCATGCCAGGCCCTGAAGGCTATGGCTTACACTGCTGAGCTAAAGCACTAGAGTTAAAGCATGGTGAGACTGCCTACCTCTCACTTTCCATGCATGTGAGCGGATCAGTCAGGGAGAGTCATTTTCCTGCTGGTGCTGACAGCTGGGAAGACTGAGCAGTGGTTTTCATAGCCCTTTATTAAGTATTTAGCAATGTTTCCTGGAAGAAAAAAACTGTAGCATACAACCTGGAGTCTTCCTTTGCCACCTGCTTCATGTTCAGAACTATTAATAAGCTAGTCTTGCTCTCTTTATTTAAATATTTTTGTTGTTGTTCAGTGTTCAGTTATTTCAGCAGAGAAACAGTGTGTCTGCTTTCTTGAGAAAATGGATTTAGGGCCTGGCTATCTGCATCCTGTCCCTAGTTCCTCCTCTGATTTACTGTGTGATCCTGGGTAGATGAGTTACCTCCTTTGTGCCTCATCTTCCCTCCCAGTGAGCAGAGTTAGACAACTCAAGCAAAAACAAGAAGCTTTGCATTTCAGAGTTGCATACATGACCATTCTTGGCAGACAAATAATAAATTTGCACGTAGATTTTCTAGGGGGATGATCTTGCCAGCTCACATCCAGTCAGGGAACAGAAATTATACCATTTATCTAACCAATCACAGCTGAGCATTATGGAAATGAGTAATTGTAGCCAAGCTGGACAATACAACATTCTCCAAAGGTATTTGCAAAGTAAATCCAAACACGAAAATAAATCCAAATGTTGGAGGATATTCAGAGAGATGTCATAAGTTAAAAAAGCCCAAATTCATCAGGTAACGTATTCATTTTTAATTATTCCCATAGCTTTAGCAATGGGGACAATAACGCTGATCTCTCCATAGGTCATGTGTGAGTGTCAGTTCATGAGTACAAAGCCTTGTGAGATGCTTAGAGGGAAAGGTGTTCGAGAAGGGCAGACATTGGTATGAGAGTCCTCAAAGGCACATTTTCTATTCTTGATCAACCACAAACAGGAATGAAACTGAAAAAACTCCATCAAACCAATTCATCTTTTTTTATGTTTTGTTTCCTCCAACCCAACCACTACTGTACCTAACCAGACCAGGCCAATCATTGCTCCAAGATGGCCCCACAGTTGCCTAGCAGCCCTCTAGCTGTTATTGGAGACCCAAACAAAATCTGTCCCTCCCAAATAAACCGAAACTGTAAGTGACTAACTCATGTTGTCATCGTCCTCTGCGATGACGCCATGTGGCTGGTTGTTACCTCGTTGCATGACTTGACGTTGAGTATTTGGTATCTCTCTCTATATATATCTTTATTTTTTCTGTATCAGTTCTTTTGTTTTGGCGATTGTGAAGTGCCGTATTGAAGCCCATGGTGGATAGTTATTGGAGTGCTGATTGGTCAGTCTTACTTAGTTGTGACCTTTGACCCCTTGAGCACCACTTCCTCCTCCTTTGCCCGTTCTTCTTTTCTCTCTGTTGTAATGTAACAATATCTGTATGTGTGTTTCACCTGCATTCACCATATGGCCATGATGACTGGGGAACTGTCATGATTGTTATGGACTCACCCTTGATTTTGATAGTATTTCTAAAAAGAAATGGTTTTCACTTAATTTTAGTTAGACATAACAAGTCTTGTATTTCCCTTTCTTTGAATCACCTTTTTTGTTTTTTACTTTGTAAAGTAGAATCTCAAAAAGAGAAAGAAAGCACTCAGGAATATCCCAGATGTTGATCCTTTGCTCTGAGTCGGAACCTGAAGTCTTGCATTTGTTTCCTGGATAGTCCTTCCCATCCCATGCAGGAGGTAGTTCATGAAAGAAAAGCAGAAAGTGACAGTAGAACTTATGGGGCAGAAGCTGGGAATTTTTAAAGGGTCTATAAGAATCTGGTGTCCAATGCAGAGGGTTTAGAACTCAACTCTTCACCCAGAGCTATTCCATCCTGAAAAGACATTGGATTGCCCTGCAAAGCATTCTGGTTAAATGAGAAAGGATAGAGCAGTCAGCCTTTGTGAATCCTCAGAGCTAGGAAGCCTAAATTCACAGTAGGAAAAAGTGCTAAATGAAATTTGTCAAAGATGCCTAAGTCTAAAACCTCAGTTGATTGCATTGACTTCACTGCAATTTCACCAGCAGAGAATTTGGCTTCTGATGTTTCTTTAATGCAGGACATTTTGCAGAGATGATAAACTAGAGGTAGTGACCTAGCTAAAGGGCCTACATGTTTCCTCACCAGAGTCACACAGATGCTCCTCCATACCACTTAACTAGTTAGCAAGGACCCCAGAGAAGTTAGATATGCGCTGGACTTTTCATATTCAGAGACCCAGCCTCAAATCCAGCTTCACTTCCAGGTGGCAACATGGTAAAGGGAACTCCATTTAACTCCTAAAAGACATTTCTCCACATGGCAAAAGCAATCATTTGCATAACATGAAGGAGGTCTGGTTTCAGGCAGACCAAGAACTGGCACAATAAGGGGAGCTACAGGTCGGAGCTGAGGTGGGGACTGAAGAGTGCATTAGCAGAAGAGTTGGTGGGTCAAGACTGAGATGTGTTCATTGGCAGATCTGAGTGGGGAGCCCATGGCTGGCAGAGTGAGGGCACTGCAAGTCCGAACTGAGGTGTACTGTGTGAGAGGAACCCAAGTCTGGAGTAACAGTGGGTGTTTCAGCTTAGGAGGGAAGAGCGCTGGTGGAGCTGGTCGGGCAGTAAGGCTGTAGGACATCCTTGAGTTGCCTTAGCAGAGCTGGCTGAGAGAAAGAAACCCACATTAGGAATATGACTATCCAGTAGTGCCCCATCCTCTGCTACCATAGTACTACAACTCGACATGTGTCATAGCCTTTCCCAGTGGGCTTCTCTGCATTTTACGTCCAGTGGCTTGGCAGATCCTCAGATGGCTTGGCAGATCTAACATACCCTTTGCTGTCTTGCAGGTTGGATGCCCTGCAGCGTTTGAAGAGTATTCCCCTTTTCCCAAGTGCAGTATCCAAACTTGTAACTCTCTTTCTTTGCAACATATAATGGATGAGGAGGAGGAGGAAGAAGAGGAACCAGTGGAGGAGAAGAAACACCGGTGAAAACAAAGAGAGCCATTTCGGTTGTATCTTTTCTTTTTCTTTTTTAATTTTCCAATTGATTTTGTTTGTTTCTTAACAAGAAGGGAAGGAAGGACGAATAGACAAAAGGAAGAGAGACACAACGATGTTGGACAAAGGCAAACAGGTGCAAAGATTTGCTTAAACTCTGAAACGGCGGCTGCTTGAGAAGACTTTGTGAATTCCTCATGTGGAAAAAGGCAGGATTCTTGAAAGGGATAAAAAACAAACCAGCCCAGGATTGTCAGCTGGGACAGCTCAGTTGCAAGGACAAAAACCTACCTTTTTAAAGCACTCATTTGCTGCTACAAATTTCAAAGGAGGAACTAGGAAAGAGGCTCCAAACGGATATAAACCAAAGCCAGTGGGAATGGACCAGGCTTGTATGTCTCACCTGGATAACATTTTGTTTAAAAGGGAAAAAGGAATTGATTTTTTTTCCACATCTGGCTGGAAAAAAACAGAAAAAGAAATCAAATGATAAGAGGATGTTGGACTTATAGAAGATATATATAAATAAGTATATATATATATATCTATATATATATATCTATATATATATATATATCTCCCATGGAGCAGGGCGGCGGGATCTGTTTCTCCCTGCCTGCTTGTCACTGGCACAGGGACATAGGATTACTTCTTTCAAGTCATATCATTCCTTAGAGTTTAGGGACCAAAGGACTATTGCTTTTTTAAATATATATATAAATAAATTAATTTAAAAAAAAACAAAAAGAAAAGAAAAAAGGTAAAAGTATCATGTAAAAGCTGCAAGCATTTCAAAGAGAAACACAAATCAAGGTAACTAAGAGGAACTTTGTTTGCAGTGTAGTGTGTTCCAGTGGCCTAGTGACTGCATAGGTGGTAGGAGTTCAAAGGAGTAAGTAGCTGGGGAATTTTTCTGAGGTTATGGAACGTGGAAAGATAGTATTTCTATTACAGCAGCCTCTTCTCCCCTCCCCTCCACCCACCCAGCAAAACAAAAAAAAGGGAAGCAAAGTTTGTGGTGCACTAAGAAAACTGGTCAAAAGATCTGATTTTATTTCCCCTAAGAACATCAAAGGAAAATCATTGCATCTGAAATTCTTCACAGAATATTTGGGCTTTCAAGAGACAAACTTGCAGTGAAAGCTATGGTTTGTTTTTAATCAAAGCATCCAGTTTCTCCCCAGTGGTAACGTTTCACTGTTGGTGAAGGTGTGTTTTGCATTTAAGAACTTTCAGTCAACATTTTTTTGACCAGTTTTTCCTTTTGCGGGAGTGATGAGGGTATTGCAACTTTAGCTAGCTAACAAAAACATTTATTGTCTGATTCTCATCTCATTTACACTGTGTATGAGAAGAGAATCAGACCCGTCAGCCTATACCTGCAGGGCCAAACCCAGCCCCGGTTACACCAGTGCATTAAAGTCATTCATTGCATTACCAGCAAAAGAATTTGGCTCAGAAGCTACAGATAGACTGAGATCTGTGAAGCATGATTATCTAATGCTCTAGCATGAGGCTTTATCAGACTATGCCAAACACATATGTGAAGCATACCACTTCTCCATGAGCTCACTCACACATGCAGCATCTCTCCTTTATCCCTTCACCAAGACTCAGATTTCCTGTCAGAAAGGGTCAAAAATATGCATCAGGATACATCTGCCCCTTGAACTTATCTCACTGATAGCTGCATTGCCCAAGGGAAAAAACATGCCAGTTAGTAATATCAATTTAAATATCAAGGGCTGGATTCTGCACTGATTTACACCCTCTGCCGTTCCAGCAGAGACAAATCAGCCTGCATGGGGCAACCGTCTAAGCTTATCTTGACCCATCAAGTTTAACTTAGGTCATAATTCATCCCTGAAGTAACTGCAACAGGCCACCTTTCCTTCCACTTTCATTGGTGTTAATCTAGAATAACACCCATGAATCCTATAGATTTATTCTCGATTTACAGGCAGTGGAACTAAGAGCAGACTCGATTCAGTTGACTTCAGTGGAGGCACATGTGGACAAGTTAGGATGTAGGTCTCTAGGAGATTGTTGTTACACAAGGATTATGAGGAATAATCCAAACCATCTGTGTTTCCTCCTTCTGGATGCCTGGTTACTCACACCTCCTTCTTGGGGTTCACAACATAAACAAGCCATCAGGATGGAAATACAGTTTCCTGTGGTCCCTGGTGGAAGAGTTTTGAATCTGTGATGAGAGGGATGAACAGACTCTGGGTTAGGTCCAGGCGGGTAGACCTCCAGTCCAACTCCCCTCAGTCCACAGGCAGTCCACATTGGCCTCATCATCAGGTTCAGGTGTTCAGGCCCACTTTCCCGGCTAATTCCCCATCCCTATTCCATATGTCCAGTACAATAGAAGCTCCTCCATGAAAGCTAATCTCTTGCCTTCCCTCACTTCCAGGTAAAGTTAAAAAACCACACACCAAACAGACTAGAGGGGGACCAATTTCAAGACCCCAGGAGACTCAGTTTCCTTGTGCCATTGAAATGTAGAGAGTCACAAGGAGAAAACTTGTTTTTACTGGAATCCATTAGAGTTTCATCATTGACTTCAATGAGTCCAGCATTCACTGTAGCTGTTAAGACCAGAAGGGGCAATTATGCTCTAGTCTGACCTCCTACATAGTAGAATTTCACCCCGTTATTTGTCTATCATACCCAATAATTTAGTAGATTAGTAAAAGCCAGTGCTCCGTTTCCCAGCCAACCATACATGCATGTAGGCATACCACTCTGTTTCCAGTGGAGACTCTCTGTGATTATCCCAGTTTTGGCCCTTGACCCCCCTTCTTTGAAATTCTTAGGAGTGGCTGACTTTATGTACCGTTCCTCCCTGCCACTGGGACAGCCTTTCCTTTGAGTCAAGAGGCCCTTTAAAATTCCACTTGTTCTACCAGCAGGCATTGTCCTTTTTCTAACCTGGACTTTCTTGTAATTTGATGGCATTACCCCTGCATAGCAGGAAAACCCTGTAGGACAGATGGGATCTTCAAGGGGAAGGACTGTAGCACCTGTGGGATCCTCAAGGAACAGGCATGTGGTTTTCCTTTCACCCATCTGCTGCTTTTCTTTCCTGTTGCCATAAGGCATCAGTTTGTGCCTTCCCATGTGCTTACCCTTGCCACTGTGAGCTTACCCCTGCCATCGTGAGAGCAGATGGAAGGAATCAGGCTAACATCCATAAAGTGAGATGATACAGAATCTAAAATTAGATAACTGAATTGTGGCCTGGTGTCTGCTCCTGGGGGATGAAGGAACGTCTCAAACCTCAAGGCAGGCAACTTTGTGGGATGGCTCAGTGCCTGACCCCCACTCTGCTTTAGCTCTCTGAGTACCCATTAGCATGTGAGTACCTTGCATACCCTGCAGTCCCTATGAGCACCACTCTGGGTGTCACCTTTCAGAGGACCCCTTGGCATGCAGTACAAAATCCATCACCATGGTCTGTAGGGCTTGGGTTTGTAAGCATCCCTCAATCCAGACCCACCTAACTACTTGCTGAGTCACAGGATATGTTATACAGCAGCTAAACGCCAAATATAGACACATTCAGACTCGTTTTATCCAGTTGCCCACCCTCTTTATACCACCAAAGCAGTAGCTTGGATTCACTGCTGTTATAGTTTCATAGTTTCATAGTTTCATAGATTTAGGGTTG